ATTATTTCATTTCTAGATTGTTCTAACAATCCAAATGTTTTCCTAGTTGATCTTTCATAGAATTTTTAACCAGCTAACAGCTCTGTATAGACTCCTCGAATTACATGGTGTCCAGGGCCTTTTCAGTCCTGTTTGCTGTCCTTATATATAGATCCAGTTTGTGAATTCCAGAAGCAAACAGTAACATGACCTATTAAATGTAAAATGCCCGCTTTGAACTGACCGTGACCGGAGGACAGAGAAGCAGAAAGCTCTCCGTGTCCGCACCAGGGTTCCCATGTCTGCAAACGATGAAGTGAGGTAGGGAGGTCAAGTCCTGCCCGTGCCCACTCAACAGGAGGAAAAAAAGTGCACAACTCAGTCTGAAGAGTCTGAAGATCTGGACCTCTGTGCTCTGATGGAGACTTACAATGTTTTAAGTTATAATTTCATGTCCCAAGACTCAAAACGTTTTTTAAATATTTTAGAAATGAGGTGATTTAAACACTCGTCAATAACATGATTTCAGGGCTGGCCGGTTAGCCCAGCTGGTCAGACTGTGGTGTTATAACACCAAGGTTAAGGGTTCAGATCCCCGAACTGGCCAGCCACCGCCAAAAAAAAAAGGAAATAAAAAAAATTATTTAAAAAAAATGTGATTTCACTATTTGGTAAATCTGATTATTTCATTTCTAGATTGTTCTAACAATCCAAATGTTTTCCTAGTTGATCTTTCATAGATTTTTTAACCAGCTAACAGCTCTGTATAGACTTCTCGAATTACATGGTGTCCAGAGCCTTTTCAGTCCTGTTTGCTGTCCTTATATATAGATCCAGTTTGTGAATTCTAGAAGCAAACAGTAACATGACCTATTAAATGTAAAATGCCCGCTTTGAACTGACCGTGCACTATATTTTATGTCTGTAAATCCAGCTTAAGTCTGAAATGGCCTGCAGAGCAAGCACCCGGCTCACAGTGGAAGAAGATGCCATGAACTCTGAGAAATGCTGTAACATCACATCTCCCTGTCAACCAAGGTCCCCCTGGCATCTGGAGATGTCGCCATCAGGAGGTAAGAAGGCGGTCGTGCAGAGCACAGGGGAGGGCTCCCTAAGTCCCCACAGCCTCTGCCGATTTCTCTTATCCGCACGCCTCTCCGTCGCCTGGGCTCTCTGTTTCTGGGCCTCACACGTTTGCTTAGCAGGAAGGAGAGCCACTGGTTTTTATTTAGTGATTTGTGCTACCCATGCTGCTCTTCTCTATTGATCTCGAACGCTGCGAGAGTTACCAGCGTGGATGCTAAGACGGGAGGCTACGCGGGCAGGTACTCTCAACGCGCTGAACGTGGATGAGCGCTGCGTGTCAGGGCGCGGCTGGATGTGGCCGGCAGCCTCCCGCTGCAGGGCCCCTGCAGTAGCTCTCGTCAGCGCCATCTGCCGCTGTCCCTCTGTGGGAATGCGGCTGCAGTCCTGTATGCTGATGTGGCAGTCACGTAGCTCCCAGACGAAGGCCACCGTTGCTGCTGCGGACACAGTCCCCTGAGAAAGAAATGGAAAACCCTCCTGGCCAACCCCATCTGACCACCGAGCATTTCTGGGACCCACCCCTGGAATCACCATGCCTTGAAATTCTGAGACTGACTCAAACACCCGCTGTAGCAGTGTCCCAAGAACGGGGTCTCTGTGTCTGAATTGACAGCCTTTCCTGTATGTCTGCTGTGGACTGTGCTCCTGTCACGAATGTCCTGCCCCACTCCCAGCCCCCGCCCCACTGAATCAGGCATGGACCTGTGACTGGCTAGGGCTGATGACATGTGGGCAGGACTGACGGGTGTCACTCCCAGGCACAATCATTAAGGGCTAGTGCATAGACCCCCTGTCCCCAGAACACACTGAGTGACCCCGTCAACCTCAGGTTCGCCTGCCATGCAAGTTGCAGAATGTTTGTTACTGCGGCAGCCTCTCACCCATCCCTACCGGTACATGTCCTGGGAAATTGTAGACGAGAACTACGGAAGATGAGCAAGTGTTCCGCCAACTTCTTTTCAGGAATGTTAAAGTAAACCAATACATGCATCTGTTTATGGGCACAAGTTTTAAAGAGTATTGGTCTGAAGAGGCTCCAGAATTCAAGGCTGTTGCAGGAGTTCTTACGTCATGGTCTGGCCAAAAGAACTACACGAGGAAACGCAGAGCCAGAAGCCGGATCTCAGAGGGGAGGTGCCCGGGAGGTCACTGGCCCCGCTGCAGATCTGCCACGTGGCCGGTGCCTCTCATGCAGCTGATGGTGTTCTGGGAATGCATGGCATTCAGCCATGGCTAAGCCCGTGGCACTTCTGAAGCATTCATGTCTTGCCAGTGACTGCCTGAAGGCAGGAGGTTGAGGACCCAGGCAAAGGGATGACGTGCCGAGGACCACAGTGGCGGTAGGGCTGTCCTGCTCACGGGACTCCTCAGACCACTTCACTACTTTTTCTCCCGCAGGGTTAATTTGATTGGTGATCTCATGAGAGGGCACTGGGTCCCTTTCAGGGATGTGTTCATGGGACAGGAGAGTCTTCCACAGGACACACTTGCAGATGCGCCTGCACTTTCAGGGGGCAGGAGGAAAAGAGAAGGGGAGTTCCCACCTGCCCTGGTGCAGAAAACCTCCATCCTCCTCTCGCCTGGGGATTGGCTACCTTGAGATCTCTTTGAACAAGTTTTGTCTTGATAGAATTTCAACATAAATTTGTCATAAGAAACTGTGACATTTGTGGCAATACTGCACAGAAGTATGTAAATGCTGGATAATGCTGAATGCATTCTGATAAGAGAATCAGGTCAGGTCCTCCTCTTCAAATAGCCCCTGCCCCCTGATGTTGCTTTGCCTCCCATGGATTTGTCACCCCTTTTCCCCTCGGTGATGGAGCCACCAAAGATTACTCAAAGCCCATCTCTTTTGAGCAGTGAGAAGCCCCGGAAAGGGGTTAATATCCCAGGACCCTCAAGCATGAGGTGTTTCTTCCATTTGGGAAATTAACCACAAATTGGGGTTCTCTTCCTGCATTTATTCTCCAGACCAAGAAGTTACAGGAAGAGACATAGGTGGGGTTTTGCTAAGTACAGTTTAACAAGTTTAACAATAGAAGCTGGTAACATTCAGTAAGTCAAGCAAGGTGACCTTCTGTAATGCAATTTGCAAAAAAGGCTTGATTTTAGCAAACATTCTCTTGTTAACGCAATTTCCCAGTATCTTTATATATCAATCAGTAACTTGTCTGTCTTTGAGCCAGCAGCCTTGCTTTGTTACAATTCTTATCTTGCAACAGAGACTCAATAGCCTGGGGACAATTTCCTATCCTTTGCAGGGTCAACATTTGAAACTGCAAGGCTTTGGAACACCAGGCCCTGTGAAGTACATTTGCTTTATGAATCCTCTACACCCTGATAACTCATTATCCCCCCATCTGACTCCCTGCACAGCAACGGTGCTTCCATGCACATGATCGTCCCCATCAGAGGTACCTGAAGAGTTCTGCAGCAGCTCTCGGGATGATTCCTACATCATCACGAGCATCCAGAGGCAGAGCAGATCCATCTGCAGGATGTGGCCCCAGCATGGTATAGCTCTTCCCGCTTCCTGTCTGCCCATATGCCATGATACAGACATTGTACCTAAAATCAAAACCGATTCAGTACAGCAGCACACACACTGAGTCTAGTGCCATCATCTGATTCTTGGGTGAAAAACTCCAATGTCTTTTGTTCTGTACTCCCCTGTTAGACCATTCCTCACAACATAGGCTTTCATTCAACTACAGCTGAACTTTTGTGTAATCCGTCCTTGTGATTTTGTTACACACTGTTGGATCACCTGGCACTTACACTCACACACACGGAGCACACGTTTCCTTACTACCTGCTTCTCCTTGTTGTTTTAACGCCCCTCACCAGGGAGCTGCTCATCCCCTTTGTGGGCTCATGGATCACGGGGGTTTCTAAGCTTAGCAAGTCCCTCCTAAATTCCCACACCTCCTCTAACTCCCAATGCAGCTGTGGAGTTGCCCGCCGGAAGACCACCCTCGTAAAACCAGGCTTACTTTATGTAATGCGCACTAGATGACATAAACGTTTGCATATTTTCTTTTGATGCTCTAAAAATATTTTCCCCATTACATATACAATCGATTGCTAGCATTGCTAAGACAGCAATGCATACTGTTATTCTGTACTGTGTCACTCTGAGGGAATTTGGGGTCAGCCCATATGTGCTGACATCCTCTCTGTGACAGGTGGCAACTACTGCCTCAAAGTTCTGACTACAGCTCATTTCACAGAAGACAGGGACTACCGCGGAGCTCTAATTTTCTTCCAGTTGTGTTATTCAGCTCAAAAGATCGATAGGAAGATTCAAAAACTTTTGGAAGAACATTTTAAATAAGTTTATGAAAAAAGTCATCTTCTCAGTCATAAGATTTCCTTGGCTGTACAGGTCAGCCTGGCCCGTGTCTAGCCTGGGGCTAAGTGTGTTCCTGGTTCAGAGCAAGATGCTCACCCTGACTGCCCATGGGAGTAGCCTGGGCAGATTCAAAAACCCCTGCACACACCTCAGAAATCCTGCTTTAATTGATCCGCCTTGACTCAGATTTATCTGTTTGACCTGGTATGCCCACTGCAAGCCAAACACATAACTACTGTTGTTTTGATGAAATGACTTCGAGAAAGTGTTCTGATTCATTGACATCTAAATCGCACACAAAACAGCAAAACCAGCGTCATTAGAGCCCAGGAGGCCTCAATCTCCAGGGCTGGCTGTTGCATTCCACGAGAAGATCTTGGAAACCACACTTCAGGCAAAGCCAGCCGAGAGCCTCTAATCTCTCATCCTGTGTGTTTTTCTCCCTGAATTAGAAAGTCTCAGGGCATTCGTAAGGAAAGCCCACCCCTTCCATATCTTACAGCTTCCTGAGTCCATGTATGTGCACTTCTTCACGTGGGGAATGTTCTGACTGCAGCACTAAGCTCTTAAGTGAATCCTTCAAACCACTTAGAAATGGAGCATGAAAGGAGCCTCCTGAGGAAGGCGCTCAGGACTGAAAACAAGGCATCTGCTTCAGATTACAGTGAAAGGGCTCCTCTGGCACAGGCGGCATTAACCACGGTGCCTTTTTATTTCTGGAATCTGCTTACTTAAAAGATGCCTACAGAAAAGAAGTCTCCCCTGTCATTTTCAATGATGCTTTTTTCAGATGGATATAAAAATCCCAGTCTCCTGTTGGAGGAGGGAAGCAGAACGTCCACAATAACCCAGGCACGGCCCGTGGACGTGCGTGCAGTCAGCGCACGTGGTTTCCTGTGCTGACCTTACTCGTCAGATTACATGTCTTTCGGGCACACAGCGCCCTGTGGTTGTAAAACAACAATCCCATAACTGCAGTTTCTATTTGGGAGGCTGGTGTGCAGAAGCCTCTGCCGGGCAAACACGAGTAAGCCATCGTCCGGGAGCCTGATGCAGACTTCTCTGCAAAACCGAGGTTCCTCAAGACCCTGAGGTATCTCGGCTTATGGTGTCTAGATAAAGTACACAAGCCCGGTCCAATTTATTGCTGAAGAAATATTCTCTAGTCCTAATTTATGACCCACTGCCTTTGAAATCAGTAGCCATGTTTTCCAAGAACAGAAAGCCCGTTCCCAAAGGGAAAGTTCCTTAATTGGATGTTAATGTTCTCAACAAACTAATATCCTCCGACTTCACATTCTCAACTCAACTTCCAAAATGCAAAAGAATCCCAGAGAGGAGACAGGCCGCTGCCATCACAGCTAAGCCCCCGCACAATACAGTTAAAATACAGTCGGAAACCCAAGGTACATGTACACATTCAGCAAGTCTCTTCAAATCAGTTTTTCTCCTTTCCTGGGAGGCAGAACTATTCTGCATTAACGAATGCCTAGTCAACGTTCGGTTATGGATTCGCCCTAATCATACAAAATGCTCAGACTCCCGTGCTCCGTTCTCATTCGGTAGCATGAATGCAGCGTACTCGTACTTACACGCAACTCTGATAATTTTCCTAAAAATATTTTAACTCACCCGTCTAAGAGGGACGTGAGTAGGGGACACACATCTCCAAATACCACGCTCTGAGATTCTGCTGGGCCATAAACTCTGAGAGAGGAAGTGAAACGATGCATTAATGGAAGACAGCGACTCTAGCATCCCCCTGCAGAAACCTGGGGAGGGGCGACACCCTGTGTACCCCCCAGGCAGACCCCCAGCACAATCGAGATTCCTGTATTTGATCAGCAAAAGGTTCATGTGTATCACTGTTCAAGCTAGCAGAGGTCAAGGAAGACTGAGATATTGCTTCCTCTGTTATAAAACTGTGATGAGCACAAGGAAAGTTATCAATGCTTGCCAGGAAGAGAGGAAGGGAGGGATGGAGGGAGGACAGAAGGGAGGACGGAGGGAGCGAGGATGGAGTTATCCTGTAATTAAATTAGCCTATCTGAGGCGGCCCAGCAACAACAACGTGAGGATCATGGTCTGGCAACACCTGATACAGAACGCTTGAGTTTTACGTTCCAGCTCTTAGAATCTTGCTCTCCTAGGCCCCGGGCTAGCCCAGCAGGACATCAGTGCCTATGACCAGACCGGGTGTCTGCTATGGAAAGGGGGTCTCGCGAGGTCAGGCAGGTACAAATAGAGTGAATGGGAAGTGACGTCCAGACGCTGCAGTCGGCCGCACAGTCTGCAACGGGAGAGCAGACTCGGTGACAGACACCAAATGTGTGAAGCCAGCACTGGCTCTTAGTCGTATTTGAATCAAATGCACTTTGACATTAGCCTCAGTTTCCTGAAACACAGGGTTTTTGTGTAGCTGGAACCACATTTTTCTCTTCTTTCATTTCCAGAAGGCATCATAAGGCCCCAAGGATCCGTGTCACCTCCAGAAGCAGGACTGATTTTAAACTTCAGGAGGGTCCTTATAAAATGTTTTCTTACACACGAGGCAGGGGGCACAAGGAACGAGAGAGACGATGCTGGGCTCTGACGGTTTTTTTTT